AATTGGGGAAAAATGAAAAGCTATTGGATGATAAAATGGGGATTTTAATGTCTGTATTGATTGATATGCATGGTATTTCTTCTGGAAAAAGAAATGAAATACACTGGAAAGTTATATGTGATTCAATGTAATATAAATAAGATTATGATGATAATAAATACATTTTTAAAAGGAAAAAAACATGGAAACTAAAAAAAATAAAACAGGGGCATGATCCTTCAACTCTATGCCCTAAAATCTAGCAGAGTTCTTTGCATATACTAAATGTTCAGTAACTTATTTTTAAATTATATTAAATAATAAGGTAAAAACTTTACCTTTTATCGAGTTTTTAGCATATCCAGACAAAATGATAAATATTTTGAATATACTATCTCATTTTATTTTTATTGTCTCCCTATTTTACAGAATTGACATTCAGAAAAATTAAGTAGCTTCCCCAAAAATAAAACACTGAGATGCCAATATTTGGGAGAGAGGGGGTAGATTAGAAGGAAAAAACAGTAAAATATTTTGAAAAATAAAAATATTAAACAGGAAAATAGTACAGGAAAAATTAGTAAAAATGTTCTAAAATGTATTTCTTACAAAAAAAAAAAAAGAAAGAAAGAAAAAAGAAAAGAAAGAAAGGAGGAAAGCACCATTCAGATTATTTGTATTCAGGAAACTCTCCACCTATCCACTTTCTACCCACACTGAACTCTCAGGGTATGTTTTTCTCTTCTGTTCTTTCTTTCCCTCCCCCATCAAGACCCCAAATTTTCTAGATTCAAGTTGCTGTTTCTTTCCAGCATCCCAGAAGTCTTTTTAGTGTCCACATCCCCAGGGAGCCAATAATCTCAGGTAGGATCTTAATAGCAGAATAAATACTCAAGCTCTTTTGCTTCCCACACTCTAAGCCCTGCAGCACCTGGGGTCTCTACTACCACTCTCTGCCCTAGACCTGGTAAGTCTTTCTATGTGTTCAACCCTGCAGTAGGCACACTGCAAATGAACCAAAGAGTTAATCTCACATTTTTAAAAGTTTATTTCTTTCTTCAAGAGAATGATAGAAAGAGATACACCCTGACAGGGTCTCCTTATGCTGCAGTCCTCCTCCATATCCCACAGCCTCTCAGCCAGTCAGAATGACAGGCCAGTGCTGGCATGACGAGTGTTCAGGATCCATGCGGATCTGAATCCAGACCTTCCGTATGGCTCTGATATTGCACAGCAATTCCCTACTGCTTTAGCTACCACAGCGAGGTGAGTAAATCACACTTTTTGACCCTGGTGTGTATCATGTAGTGCAAATGACTCTTCAGAGAACAGTCTCCCATAAAAATCCTCACACTACCTATGAAATAGGAATCGTCCTCTCTGGGCACAGATAAGGAAGCAGGTTAAGCAATTTACATAACTGACATCCCCCAGCTGGTGAGTGGCAGGTTTGTATTTTTAAAAACTTACATAATTTTATTTTATTTCTTAATCGATAAATAATAAGTATACATATTTATGGAATACAGTGTAATTTTTTATACATGAATACAATGTGTAATGATCAAAGCAGGGTATTTAGCCTATCTATAACCTCAAACATATGTCATTATTTTGTGTTGGGCACATTCAAAATTCTTTCTTCTAGCTACTTGAAAATATGTGATTAAGTCATTGCTAAATATAGTCACCCTTCTCTGACATAGAAACTCAGAATGTATTCCTCTTGTCTCACTATAATTTTGTGTTCATTAACCAACAGCTCTCCATCCACCCATCTTACCTTTTCCAGCCTCTAGTAAACACTATTCTGCTCTCTACTGCTCTGACATCAACATTTTTAGCTTCCACATAAGAGTGAAAATATGTGGTATTTCTCTTTCTGTGCCTGACTTATTCCATTTAACTTAATGTCCTCCAGCTGGGATTTGAGTCAGGCTGACTTCAGCCATCCATCAGAGTGCTAAATTCTTGATAGGTTGCTACCAGAAGCTCAAGACTACCTTCGGTGATTAAGTACTTGCTCCTTTTCTCACAAGACAAACTTGTTTCTGGTCTTTGAGTGCCTATTTGTGTTTTTTATTTTTTAATTTGCTTTAGAGTACATGTGCTCACTGGAGGAGGAAGGGAGGGAGAGAGAGAAAGACAGAGAGAGAACACTTCCCAGGGAAAATGACCACACTGCAATCTATTTTCCTATTAGAATTTCGGGCATACATGCATATGCACACATGCACAAGCCGCTAGGTCTGGGACTTGAACTGTGCAGTCAGCCATGTGGGATCCAGCCACCATAACCACTACACCACCTGATGCCCTATGAATGCCTATTCTTATGCATGAGAACTTAAGAACATTCATGGAGAAGTGAAATTAAAGAATGAGTTTACTTTGATGCAAAAAAAATTAGAAATCCATGCACAGTTTTTTTATAATATGCATTTCCACAAACTTTTTGAAGACTCATTACGTATTTTAGGTAAAATCTTTTTTATACCACATGCTAAGAAAATGTAGAACAAGATGGAGGGCTAGGGAGTGTGAAATAGAGTTTTTATTTTAGGAAAGTAATCTGGAGGAGGCTGGGAGTCACTCCTTGACTAATCTTAGGAGGAAGATGAATCAGAAGAAAATAGCCCTAATGTTTTATCTAAACGCATGTGTCTGTGTCTTCTCTGCAGTGCTCATGAATTTTTCACAGCAACATATATAGATATACTCACAGGCTCGGTCCAATACACACCTGTGCTCATTCATAAAACAAAACCCCTTTAGATATACCTTTTCACAAAGTACCCCACATTCAGATTTCCTCAGTCCCAGACCCTTCAATCACCAAAAAGCTTAGCTCTCCTCTGGGGATATCTGGTCCCAGGCTACATAGTGGAAACTTGGGAAGAGAGACATCACAGAAGAGAAAGCAGAAAACACATGGAGGAAAAGATGATCAGAAAAAAGGGACTCGATAATTTGTTCAATACCAGAGTGTTGGCCACCCTTGGCCCTGAGATGAAAACAGATCCTGGTCCACAGTCATTCCTTGGATTACATTAGAAGACCTTATCCTTTCTGCCACTTTCTGAGGCAGTTGTCTAGGTCTCCGGGTATGGGTAACTGAGGATAGGAATCGCAAGGAGTATTGTGGCTTTCAATTAGAGATATAAATAGGCTACTTCCAGAGGGTGCAGTTAGTGCCTCTGTCTGTTTCAGTTAGTGAGGAGAAGACAGTCGCATCTCATTATATCAGAAACCCTGTCAAAGAGGCATTTTCTCCCTCTTGTCTTGTTGGCTCTTGCTTATGGCTATGTCTGCTTCTTGTTCTCCTATATTTTCTTCCCCTTAATCTCTTCCTCTACTATTCTATGCCTGAGGGGGTTTTTTAAGTTTTTTGTTTGTTTGTTTGTTTTGGCTTTGTTTTCTGTTTTTTGCTATAAAGCACATGCACTCGCTGCAGAGAGGCAAAGAGAGACAGTGAGAGAAAGAGTGAGAAATTGTTCCCCCGGGCAATGGCCATCCACAGTCCCTTCTCCTCCATTCTCCTAGGACTTTGGGCATATATGCACATACAGCTGGCATGATTTCCAGTCACCAGGTCTGGGACCCAAACCAGGGTCAACCATGTGGGATTTCAGTGCCTTAACTACTACATCACCTGCTGGCCTCCTGTTTCTGACATTTTTGTTCAATCTCCCCTCTGCCAACTAGTCAATTATTGTCTCGCTGATAGACAAGCAAAAGCAAAAAGGAACATGTAAATGAGGGACTATACGAGAAGAGAGTGTGTGAGTAATGGATAGAAGGTGTGTGAATGTGTAGAACCTCAGTACTGTTGTTTGACTAACTGTGGCCTCCATAGTTGTTTACAAGGAATGATTCCCAGTTATTACAATTCACTTCTCATTCTCTTTCTTTCTGCACCTTTGCTTTTTGTGAGACTCGAATGTCCTTTGCACACAATCATTTTCCAGTGGTCTTACTGTACCATAAGTCCATTATGGCCAAGTCAGTCTGATAACTACCATCGAACAATGCTGCAGGATTTCACCTATCTACCAGCACCCCTATCAGACACCTCAGGCAAGCACAGGATCCTAGTACTGAACATGAACCAGGCAACCTTATGGTTATAACAGACTACAAGAGACTCAGCCCCTCACCTGTCAGAATGTAGGTCCTGGGCTCAATGCCTTGAAAAAATCTATTCAAGATAATCCTGCCTTTCCTTCTTTCCCTTCAGTACTCATCTTCTCATCTTGAAAAGCAATCACAGTTGAGGCTTCCATCGAATCCACCTGACCTTTCATCATTGAAATTACGTTTATATGGGCCAGCAGGCGGCGTGGAGGTTAAGGTGCTGGATCCCACATGGCTGACTACATGGTTTGAGTCCCAGATCTAGAATCGTGGAAATTACTCCAGGCATGTGTGTGTGTGCATACCCAAAATCTTGAAAAGAGACTGAAGGAGAAGGGACTGCTGCATGAACATCCTCCTGTGAGGTGATTTCTCTCTCTCTCTCTCTCTCTCTCTCTGTCTCTGCCCCCCCCGCCTCTAGTGAATGCATGCACTCTATAACAAAAACAAATCAAAACAAAACGAAAAATACCTTTATATTGTCACACAGACAGATGAATCAGAAGAAAATAACACTAGAGTATGGGCAAGAAAGGGTTTACAGAGAGAAGAAAGCTGAGTTTCTAGCCACTCACCTTAACAAAGAAAAGGGTTCTACAGTCATGCCACTCATCTCAGCCAGCAGCCTAGACATCACTGAATCAGACAGAGTGAAGAAGGCTCTTTTGAACCTTGATCATGTTAACCCATTTCCCCCCTTGCATCATTCCCCAGTGCCCTACAACCTTCACATCCTGGATGTTTCTCGTGAAGTCTGACTCATGTATTTCCTCCTGCAATTTGGCCAAAATGTAAGGACGAATCCAAGCTGCTTCATCTCTCAGGGCTTCCTAGATCTCAAAGCAAAGCAGTGAGGTCTTCCTTATCCACCCTACCCCAGGCTAGCCATGCAACTCACAAACCACACCCATCAGAACCCAACATCCTTCCTACTCATGGGAATTCCTGGCCTGGAGTCATCCCACTTTTGGATTGCATTTCCCTTCTGTTCCATGTATGCCCTGGCAGTTCTGGGCAACATGGCAGTGTTAGTGGTAGTACACTCAGAGCCTGCTCTGCACCAGCCCATGTACCTGTTTCTATGTATGCTGTCCACTGTTGACCTGGTGCTCTGCACCTCCACTATACCCAAACTCCTTGCACTCTTTTGGGCAAATGCTGCTGAGATCACCTTTGGGGCCTGTGCTGCCCAGATGTTCTTTATCCATGGCTTCTCAGCTGTAGAATCTGGTATCCTACTAGCAATGGCCTTTGACCGCTACTTAGCTATCTGCAAGCCTCTGCACCATGGATCATTGCTGCCCCCACAATCTGTGGGCAAGCTGGGAGCTGCTGCTGTGATTCGTGGCTTAGGACTCATGACTCCACTCACCTGTTTACTGGCAAGACTGAGCTACTGTAGCAGAGTGGTGGCACACTCCTACTGTGAGCACATGGCTGTGGTGAAGCTGGCCTGTGGGGGCACACAGCCAAACAACATCTATGGCATCACTGCAGCCACATTGGTGGTAGGCACTGACTCCATCTGCATCACTGTCTCCTATGCACTCATTTTCCGGGCTGTGTTAGGCCTCTCCTCCAAGGAGGCAAGGGCTAAGACTTTTGGCACTTGTGGTTCCCACCTGGGTGTCGTCCTGCTGTTCTACACACCAGGGCTCTTCTCATTCTACACACAGCGCTTTGGCCAGCATGTGCCCCGGCACATCCACATCCTCCTGGCTGACCTTTATCTCATTGTACCATCCATGCTTAACCCCATCATCTATGGCATGAAGACCAAGCAGATTCGGGATGGGGCCCTCCGACTGCTGAAGAGGAGCCCTGCTCCATCATAAAGTCTTCAACCACAACTTGGGTTTGTATCTTCCTCTCCCCTTTGCCCTTGGGCAATATTGACAAGACTAGTGACCCCCAGTAGGGTTGGAAGACATAATTCCACATTCAACAGTACCTTCACTTTGATAAGGAGGTATAGCACAAGTCAAATGGTGGAATAACTAAGCCATTTTCCACTTATGATGCAGTTATGGAACAAAGCTCAGGGAGACCCTGGCTAATGGGAAATACAGCAACCAGAGAGATGATAGCCAACTAAGGAATCCCACTCTGTTGACCTATGTTGTTTCTACCTTCCAGGAGACCTTGATAAAACAAAAAAGATAGGGCTACTGGTCTGACAAGGAGAAATATCCCTCACCAATAAGCAGGTATTCCTACTCTGATAGAGATCCATGGATACCTTTCTCAGTGAACTCTAACTCTGACTGGAAAGAAACTTATACTCACACACAGAATCAGACAGCTAGACAGAGCACTCAACAATTGGCCATAGGGACAACAAAAAAGGAAGAATAATCCTAGGCAAACTGTGTGCATCACACAGAGGAATAAGCAACAAGGTGTAACGTCCATCTAGGAAGGTTCTCTGGAAGATTAAAGTTTTCATCTTGTCGCTGAGCATGCATTATGGGCCAAATATTTTGCTAAAATATACAGGCATAAACTTGGTTAAGTCAAAAGTTCTCCTTTCATCGTGACTATTCAATGTTAGCCAGAGGAAACACATATGAGGAGAGAGTGGCCAAACCAAATGAAACTAGTATGATTAGGGAAAGCACGTAGACTGAAGGGACTGAGTAAAGTACTAATTTGTTCAGGGTAAATAGTGCCCTAGGACCCATCTCATCTCACCCCACCTCTGTATGAGAAGGAAAGCCTGCTTCCTCAGAAGCCTTTGATCATGTCTGGGTACGAGGTGTTTTAGTGAAGCCTCAGGCTAGATGATATCAAATCTGGCATCCCAAATATCTTCTTCTGTTCCCTGAGAGTGGCCATACAGAACCTCTACCAAATCTCAAGGGTTCAGGGAAAGGACCAGGTTTCTTCTTTGGAAAGGAAACAATGAACTCAGTCCCATTCGTCCTCCTGAGTAGGTTGTTAAAAGTGAAAGTTACAGCTGCACTAGAAGACCCTTTGGGCTCCAGATTTCTCAGGAATTCTGGTTCTGACATCTTTGCTCAGAATCTGCAGACAGATACTTAATAGGTAAATACTTGGATAAAATACCTTAATAAGCTAAGAAAAAGCTAGATGGGAGACAGCCTCTAGCCTAAGGGAGACACCTTTAGGCTCAGAGTGACCTAAGTCAACAGCCATTCATTCATCCAGTAGAGGTAATGGGTTAGTACACTCTGCAATGCACCCAAAAGGCAGACACTGTTTTACTCTATAACCTCATAACTTTCTCATGAAAGACAAATAATTCCTCTCTATTTGCAGAACTGGAGGCAGAAAATTAAGAAAGCAGTAACTTGACCAAGGAAGAAAGTAAATCATCCTAGGCAAACTCTGTGCATCACACAGAGAAATAAGTAAATGTCAGAGCTAGAATTCAAACTCAGAACTTTCTAGTTCTAAATTATATTCTTTTTACCCTTTTAACCACCTGAGTTCCTATAAATCTAGGTTCTAAAACCAAGAATCTAATAAATTCTAATCCACGGACAAAGGATTTTTTTTCCTAACATCATCATGTCTGAGAACATGCAATATACTAAAAATCATTCTTGATGTTGTAGATATAATGGCCATTCAGGAAGGTAAATAACCTGTGACCTCTTTAATATGCGAGCTCAGCAAAATGTTTCCATGTACTTCCAGTGACTTCCACGTTACTGAACCATTACTGAACCTGAAGCCATTTAAATAATTCTTCCTTCACTGCAGGTCTCAGCAAACATGAGATTTGTAGTCATTTTCCCACAGACATGCCAAGTTGCCACATAGTCAGAAGCCAAAACATGATAAATTCAACTCCCCAAAATACTTACCTCAAACTATAATGAAAGTCAATTAAAAATGGCTATGTCCTATTTGGAACTATATTCTCAAACTTCTCTTTTTTTAAATTAGTTATAATTTACATAAATAAAATGTATACATATTAAATCTACAGTTTGGCAATACACTTATCAATATAACCACCACCCCAATCATGATACAGAGTATTCTCTTCATCCTAAAAGGTTCCCTTCTTCTTCCAGGCAAAATCCTCATTCCCCTTATGGAGACAACTATTAGATGTTTTTTATCAGTTTGGATAAAAATTCCTGTTCTAAAAATTCTTATAAATGGAGTTATACGATATGTATCCTTTGTGTTCAACTCATTTGACCCAGTGGAATGTTTTTGAGATTGTTCCATGCATTGGTTGTTGATTCTTTTTTATTGTTAAATAATATTCCATTGTACAGACATACCAAAGTACATCTCCTTTTGGACACTTGGTTTGTTTCCCATTTGTGGCTATTATAAATAAAGCTGCTATGAATATTTCTTAATGTAGAAGTGGAATTGTTGGATCAGAAGACAACTTTACAGAACCTGCCAAATGATTTTTCCAAAGTAGGTTGTACTTCATTATAATCTCACTGGTGACGTATAACAGCTCCCAGTGGTTTCACATCCTGGTCAATCCTTGATATTGTTAATTTGCTTTTTCCATTTAAACCATTCCAGTAAGTGTAAGCTAGTAACTCATTATGGGCTTAATTTGCATTTTTCTGACCATTAATCATGTTGAAAAACTTCTCATGTGTTTACTGTTCATGCATATTTCTTCTGTGGAATGTTTGTTAAAGTCTTTTGCCCATTTTTAATGAAGTTTTTAGATGCGTTATTGATTTAAACTGTTTTATACTAATGATCCAAGCCATTTATCTGGTACACACACAATGAAAATATTTTGTCCAATTGTGGTCTGCCTTTTGCTTTTCTTACTGGTATCTTTTGATAAAGAAATTCTTAGTTATGATGAAGTTCAAATAATCAGTGCTATTCATATTTAGTGCTGTGTTTTGTAGATTTAGCTTTTAATTTTAGTTCTGTGATCCAGCATACAAATTATATACAGCATGAAGTAGAACTCAAGATCTATTTTTCACAAATATCCAGCTGTTTCAGCATTATTTGTTCAAAATATTTTCTTTTCCAAATTGAATTGCCTTGACAATTCACAAATCAGTCAACCCTTTATGTGTGGTTGTATTTCTGGATTTTCTTTTCACTTTCATTAATCAATTTATGTATCCTATGTCAAAACTATACTATCTTAATAATAATAACATTATAGTAAGATAGCAAGAGAACAATAGAGAGGCAGGACGTTAGTGAGAAACAGATATGGCTTATTAACTGTTGATGATGACATGTATAGTATTCTCAACTGGTTTGGTCTGAGAAGTATTTCATGATGGGCAAAGTCTTTTTACAAGCAAAATGAGAAATAGCGATTGACTGTTTTAAAAAAATAATTAGAATAATAATAATAATGATTGGGGAAAACATAGAAAAGATATTGAATGTTGAAGCAGGGAGATTAATGTCTCTGTATTGACTGACATGCGTGGCATTCCCTTTTGAAAAAGCAATGTAATACACTGTAAAGTTATATGTAATCCAATGTAATATAAAGAAGATTATGATGATAATAAAAAATAATACAAAAAATCCAAAAAGAAAAATGAAGTAGTAATTCTGGCTATTTTTAGGTTTGTTGCAATACTATTTATAGTTTAAAGTCAATTTGTTTATTCTTAAAATTTTCACTGATAGAATTTTTATTGTATGATTTTTTTAAAAATTATACCGTACTGACTAGGTCCTCCAACACCATGTTGGATATAATTAGTAGGATAGACATTCTTGTCTTGTTTCTGGTCTTTGCTTTTCATTTTTAATCCCCTATGTTGAGATTATAATTCAAATTCAAATTCTATACAATTTACCCATTTTACATACAGTTCAATATGTTTTAGTATACTCATAAATATATACAACCATTACCACATCAGTCTTATTTACAGTCATGTTTTAGAACAACTTTATCACTTCAGAAATAAACCCCATATCTTTTAGTTATCACTCCTTTATTCCTGTATCTCCCATCGCCCTACACAATCACTGATTGACTTTCTATCTCTACAGATTTCTCTACCTAGACTTTCATATAAATGGAAATATATGATATGTAATATTTTGTGACTGATTCTTTTTCATTTAGCATAATATTTCCTAGGTTTATTCATGTTATATATTAGGATGTCATTTTTCCATGGCTGAATAATATTTCATTGTATGAAAGTACCATATTTTGTTTATCCATTCATCAGTTGATGAATATTTGGGTCGTTTTACCCTTTTGACTCTTATAAACAATGTGGATATAGCATTCTATACGGGCTTTGCTGTAGCTTCAGAACATGTCTCTAACCATTGTCAGAGTATTAATTTCAAATTCTTCAACATAAGAATATCTAAACTCTCAGTGCCCTATTCATAACAGAAATGTTATTTACTCATTCAACAGCACTTTACGTCTTTATACATCAATAACACCTGGGATAAAGTTGAAAAAAACAAGATGACATGCAGCAAAAAATTCTGACTATGAAGAAGACATATAGATACTGCAATAATTTTTTTATAAATGCTTATACACAGAGAAATAGAAATATAGTGGGTGGGGAGTATAAACACTACCTTACATGAAAAGTCCTGTCTAAACACTGAAAAATAAATAGAATCCTGTCATTTAGAAAGGCCTTTCAGGAAGAGTGTGTTAGCAATGTGAGAGGGCAAGCCCACCCACTTGGGAAACACAATCATTTGAGTTTCTCCCTCCATAAAGAGGCAGAAGCCTTGCTAGCCTTTTGTGATATTCAACGGTTAAATGTCATTTTCATAAAGTACTCAGAAAATGTATCACAATATTCAAATGAGTTTTCATCGTATTGCAAAATTATGTTTGTTTGAGGTCAGAATGCTAGGAAATTAG